TAGATACAGTAGATGATAGATACAGTAGATGATAGATACAGTAGATGGATACAGTAGATGATGGATACAGTAGAGGATAGATTCAGTAGATAGATACAGTAGATGATGGATACAGTAGAGGATAGATTCAGTAGATGATAGATTCAGTAGATGATAGATTCAGTAGATAGATACAGTAGATGATAGATACAGTAGAGGATAGATTCAGTAGATGATAGATTCAGTAGATAGATACAGTAGATGATGGATACAGTAGATGATGGATACAGTAGATGATAGATACAGTAGAGGATAGATTCAGTAGATGATAGATACAGTAGATGATAGATACAGTAGATGATAGATACAGTAGAGGATAGATACAGTAGATGATATAGTAGATGGATAGATCCCTCTCTCCCTCCCAGGTGGGAACACAACAAGACTAAGAATGTTCTTTCACACCTGGGATTTGAAGCTCCTCCTTAAACCAGACCAACTAGTAGTAGCCACTTTCATGAACATCTGTATTTTTTTTCTTACTGGTTTAATCATTACTGCTGCGCTCGCCCTGCCAAGCACCTCTTTAATAACTGCTATTCTAACCAAACTGGACTCAGACGGCTCCTCTGATGTGTTTTTGTGAGGAAGCCAACTTGCACAGCAAGCACTGAATATCTAGTGATTATTCTTTTTCAAAGCTCGAGTACATGATTTTCTTCAATCTCGTGTAGAAAGACTAATTTGTTGCACATGTGTGTATACTCACAATTGCTCAGAAGATTATTTGTTCTTGTGTATTAATGGGGTTTATTTATATGGTGCTGTTTCATCTCAGGGCATCGTACAAAACCTTCACGTACATTAGAAAATGTAAATTACCGTAATTTTCAGACTATAAGCCACTATTTTTTTCACACGCTTTGAACACTGCGACCACACACCTCTGTGGTCCACACTGCTTTTTTTTTGTATTTGTAATGTAATTTTTTTATTCATTATTAATTAAAAAAAAAAATTATCAGCCATTTTATAGGCACTGTTCTGACATCCAACTCCACCCAGAAAGATCCCAGACTGGGATTTGAACCATCAACCTTCTCGTTCCGCTCAATATAATTTAACAAAACTTCACATATGCGTCATCACTAGACAGAGTGTCGCATAAGTTTTCATCACTCCAATTCCAAGATCAAGGTTACAAATCCAGGTCAAAGTTTATACGAGGTCATTGCTTGTATAAAAGTTTGTCGACGAGCGTATAGTGTGCTGTACGTGGTACTCTTCAGGGGTTTGATGCAACAGCCACATTACTGGTAATGGTTTACCAGTCTGCTTCTTATAAATCTCTGCTGCGTCTGGACAGAACAGAAGTATTCAACTCCAACATCATATTTCTCTGCCTGACTATCTTGTCTAATGTCCCAACAGAATCAATGACAAGCCTCCTTTCTGTTGTACAATGGGGAGCAAAGAAAGCTGGGCAGTGTGATGACTAGAAATAGATGTTTGTAAAATGGTTTAATGGTGCTTGAGCATCGGGGCATGGTTTGGGGAGCTGTTTTTGCCACATCAGTACAATGCAGCGTATACAGATGTCACATTGAGGTTGCATGTTGCGTTGGGAGACTGCTGCATCCCTCAGGTGCTTCTGAGAGCTCTCCAGGGGCCACATTGCCCTCATTTCTATGTCCGCTCATGAAGTATCGAGTGTTTGTGTGTGTCTTTCTTTTTTTAACTTTCTCTAGGGAGGTTGTGCAGTCGGCTCAGTCCAAGATGTGTCTAAAACATAAAATAGAAAGGTCAAAATGTGTTTCTGTCACTGCTGAACGATCAAGAAAACACCAAAGGATGGACTAAATATATTTTAATTCTAAGACTTATCCATTCTTTTTGAAAGTTGATGCTGCCTGGGAAAAGACACATTAAATATTTCTTAAACAAAGATGTTATGTTGCCAGTGTTTGCTCTTTCAAGCAGCAACAAATTTGCACCAAAGGGCAGCAGGAATGTCCTTGCCGCTGGCCAGTTTGTTAAGAGGAGCAGGAGGTCAAGTAAATCCATATAATTACAGGAAAAAAAGACATCATTGCGCATCATGCCAATTCCACTGGGCTGGAAGTTATAATAGCTTTCCATCATCGCAGGAGCTTTGCTACAGAGCAGACAGCCCGACAAAGGCGTCACCATGACAACGGTGTCGAGGGCACACTAAGAACTGATAACCTGTAACGGGGAAAAGGACGGTTCCAATTTGTTTTGGTTTATAGACCTTTCATTGCCTGTCACATTGAGGAGATACCTTTTCCTTCTTACAGATTGACATTTTACTCCCGCCATCCAAATCTAAATTTTGAGCTATAGGAACCTAACCTAAGGAGCCATCTTTATTTCCCACAATCAAAAAGCAAAAGGTGGGCAATAATGTTTCTGCTAGCATCGGAGTGTGTTTGTCTGTTACCCAAATATTTTATGAACCACTGGTTGGGCTTTTATTAAACTGTCAGGACATAATAAGTGGATGTACCACTGCTACTATTTTACTTTTGGAGCCAACCCAATTCAAGATGGCTGCCACAGCCAGTAGACTTAAAAGAACACAAAAATAGCTGTAATTCTGACAATTTTGCTGATAATGCGCTAAAATTTGACGTCTTAGTAGCTAAGAGTTATTTTAACCATGTGATCTCACAATGTGATAAGACCACTGTTGGTTAAAAATATTCTCTGTTCATCTTACTCTCTATGTGTATTTTGCATGTTCTTCTCGTGCTTGCATGGGTTTTTCCAGGTACTCCGTTTTCCTCCCACAGACCAAAAACATGCATGTTAGGCTGCCTTCAAGCCCAAACCTCCCTTGCAAAAGAGATCTATGATCTCAATGGGATTTGCCTGGTTAAATAAATGTTAATGAATAAATAAATGTACATAAGTTCTACGTGCATGGAGTCACGAGAATCTGCCACGGGCAGCGTGTGAGAATTGTTTTATAACCTTATCAGTTCTCAGCTCAGAGACAGACACTGGTGACCTCGGCCACCCAGCTGGATCAAACCAGTTCCTCATTCAGCTCTCTGTAATAGAGAAAAGAACTCTGGTTACTCAAACACATGGTTCATGGGCAGTTATTCTCAGCCATAGTAGTTAAAAAAAATTCATAAACATTGACTAAAAAAAACTCCTGACAACCGCACATACGATTATTTTCAAGGTTTGACCTAATTGATTACAGCTGTTAACTTCTCAATAATTTCTCAACGTCAGATTACTTTAGTCGGAAGCTTTGACATGAAAGGCCGAGGCCACTCCTTTTAGCCTTTTAAAAGTTTGTTTAATGGTGCATTCACACCAGCCCTGTTTAGTCCGCTTTAATCAAACTCCATTTGCCTAGAAATTCCGGTTCGTTTGGGGAGGTGTGAATGCGCAATCAAACTCTGATGTGGACCATAAAAGCGAACTCTGGTCTACCTAAAAACCTAGGTCTCGGTTCGGTTGAAGTGAACTCGAGCACGGTTCCAATGCATTCTGAATGCAAGTGTACCAGAGACCGCTCCAAAAGCAGGAAGTGGACTACAGCGCAAGGCATTATGGGCAAATACAACCAAAACAAACGCGCATTTCTCATACCTCATACGGAGCCGTCTCATCCGCCTTGTGTGAAAAACATCTCCGTGGTCTTCTGCCTCATCCTCCACTCATGCCGAGTCCATTGTTGAAAAATGTTTGTTTGGCACATGAGCCACAAACCAAAGAGAAATCCTAAACTGCTAAAATTTGACGGCACTCCATTTTTGTTATTTCCAGAAGTTGCGCTCATTGTCTTCTTCAGAGGTTTTTGTGTCGTTTCCTTCAGTAGTTCTTGGTGCAGCGCCACCACAGGCGAGGGGGGGAACAGGTTGGCTCGATTGACTCGGTGCAGTGTGAATGTGAACCGCACCAGCTGAAAATGTAAACAAATGTTCCGAATATTGGTCCCCAATCGAACCGAGTCTACCGGACTATCAGGTGTGACAACCTAAATAAGTATTATTTATGTGCTACTTTCGTGGTTTCTTTCTATTTCTTTACTACAAATTAGACGTAGGTGCTAGAAAATAAAAACATTTTGCTCAAGAAAGAAGTATTACCGTCAAATAGCTGTAATTTGATGCAGTTTTCTGCTGTAAACCCGTGTTTTTATTTTATTTTTTTCTGTATATCTCTAATCCCCTCCCTTGTTGCTCCACTGCTGCTCTTTAAATAGCAGCTAATAGCTTGGCTTGATTTATACTCTGTTTGCTACTCCTGAGAAAACAGAGCCTGACTTTACAGAAAGGGTATTTTGGGCCTCCTGGAAGGGTTGTGAAGCTGTGACATGATGGAAAGTAGGCCTTCTCATGCTTTGAGAGAATAATGTGCAACATGTATGAGGGGTGTGGGGAAACGTCTCAGTGACCCGAGGCGATGCTCACCGGGTGTCTCCGTGTGCTCCTTGTTGCAGCTGAGCTTCCAGCACAAAGTGGGGGTGCTCTACTGTAAGGCGGGCCAAAGCACGGAGGAGGAAATGTACAACAACGAAAGTGGCGGACCGGCGCTCGAGGAGTTCTTGGATCTGCTCGGTCAGAGGGTGCGGCTCAAAGGCTTCACCAAATACCGAGCTCAGCTGGACAACAAAAGTAAGTACCTAAACATCGTCGGAGGGGAAGCTCACGCACCTCTAATCCTGCTGGATGCAGCTCTTCTCTGCTTAACTCAGCCTTTACGGATCTGTAATGTGTTTTTAAGCCTATGCCTTGTTAATCTACATTTGTTTAATTAATCCGCCAGACTATTTGACATAACGATCCTCCGTAACGAGGCCACGACCTCATGCAGCTTTCTGCTCTCTTCCAGCCGACTCTACAGGAACACACTCCCTTTATACCACCTACAAGGACTACGAGCTGATGTTTCATGTGTCCACCATGCTCCCCTACACACCCAACAACCGGCAGCAGGTGAACTGTGTGCTTCATAACACCGCATCCCCACAGCAGCAGACCATTATGTTGGCCCCTGTGTGTAGTGAACCGCTGTCTAATGGATGTAAGAAGTCCCTGAGCAGCTCCCTTTTATGATGCATCAAATACTGACTCCCCATAGTCTTTCCTAGTGTTTTTTTTTGTCTTGGCAATAACCTATCAGTTGAAAACATGAGCATTGCCATGGTGACGGTGGCTCATGGCAGGATTTTAATCAGTGTGTCTCCATGGGACGGGCCTGCCACAGTATTAGATGAGCCTGTGTGTCTGAGTAGTTTCAACATATCAATAACTGCACTCTGTGTTGAGAAGTTCTTTGTTAATCTGCAGTAAAAGCTGCAAGTGCAGCTTTGTAGAGGCGCTGGCTTAGTGTAGACGGAAGAACTGCATTTTCTTTCAAAATCTAGTGAGTGCTGCAGGACTTTGCTGACATTTGCTGATAAATCTGAAGCTGAGTCAACAAGAAAAACAAAAAGCTTAAAAGAAATCTATATTAAAGTTAGCACAAGGATAGCTAAAATAAGGAAAGTTTAATAAAAAAAACTGGCTTAAAATTTAAAAGTGGCAAAAAGGTTCTAAAGTTAAAAGGATGGATAAAAACAAGTAGCTAAAAGTTAGCTAGAAGCTAAAACAAGCAAAATATGAAAATATTCTAATAAATATGAATGCCTTTTTGGACAGTTGACATAAAAAAAAAGTATTGCAAAAATAAAAAATATTCCGCTGAGATATTCTCATCTGCAGCAACAGGAAGTGATGACAAAGGGGAGCGCCTGCATGTGAACGGAGCTTTGCAGAAAATAATCTGATGCTTCTTTATTTTAGGTCACTTTCAGAAAGAGAAGAAGAAGAGTCGGAGATCAAATCTAGTTTCAATAAACAAAAACCAAGAAGTTCTGCGTTTTAAAGAATTCCCCCTTTGATGTCACTTCCTGTTTCGCTTTGGCTGCACCAAGTTCAAAAGAAAATATGTCAATTGTGTGACCAAATTGTTAAATTAATTTGTATTATGCCAAATTTATTAAATATTAAGATGTTTTCCTCCACTTTTAGCATTTGTAGAAATGCATGTCACAGGAACTTTAAGTTAAAAGTAGAAAAAAGGCTAATAAAAATGGTGAAAGCCTAGCTAAATGCTAAAAGTGGCAAAAAGGTAGTTCAACGCTATAATTAGCATGAGAATATGATAATAGACAAAGTATGCTGAAGCAGTTTTTAAAGAGAAATAAGAGCTCTTAATGCATTTTTGTGGGTGAGTTTTAAATAAAGTTTAATATTTTGAAAAGTATAAACGCTACAAATATCTTAGTCCACTGTTCTTAATCAAGACAGACATTGGTTTTGGTTGAACATAAAAAGTATTTGGAAGTTGTTTGCAAAAAGTTTACAATAGAAACCGAACGCTCACTGGGCGCCTACACGATGAGATGTAATGGTGGTGATGGTGAAGTTTGCTCATTCTGTGAGCTTCACCTCAAACAGGTGATTGGCTGCAGAAGGGTCTTTCTGTTTTCTTTTCCAGTTGTAGAGTGGGCTAGTGAGTGAGTTTTAATTTAATCCCTGGTGGTAATCTTCCAGCAAGCTCCGCTCATCCCTTCATCCTTTCCAATTCACCCCTGTACCCTTTAATCCTGCTTGTTTTGGACTCTTTTTGACCCTCACTGGCAACCTTATTCCAGACAGAATGAGGTTAAGTATCGGTGTAATCCAACAATACAAGAAGTGTAAAAAATGTTTGAGGAAAAAAACCCACCCAATCCACAAAAAGTCATTATTTAGGTTTGGTGGTGATGCTTCTTCCACCCCAAGGTAATTTGTACATCTCAGTTTCCAATTAAGGCTTAACGATTCTGCAAATTAATGAAAGAGCAAACCAACAGAAAGTATAAATTTTTTTTTTCTTCATTAGATTTAGTTTTCACTGTTAGGCATGCAATGTAGATTATTTTAAAGCGATTCTTTTTCCTCTACATAATAAATTAAACGATGGCGTTTACAACATTTTTATGACTGAGAGAGACATTTATTTGTCATTCGGATCTCGTGGTGGAGCGAGATTATGTACACAGGGTCCCAGTTACATCCAACAATAAAATGTAAAAGAAAAACAGTAATAAGATCTAAGATATAAACTAAGAATAATGTTAACACTAAGCACTAATAGCATAAAAACATTACGTAGAACAGCGGCACGAACATGAGTCTTTGTGAGCAGAAACCAACCTTAACCATAGGATTTATTATTATTATTATGGGACCGTTGGAATCTTCTGTAGCTCACAGTTCAAGAATCTAAGCTTTGACTTAAATATTCTGCTCAGCAGCTGTTTTGTTTTAGGCTTACTTTTCAGTCCGTTTCTGCCTGCCTTGTTAATTTGGCAGTCGGGGTGCAAGAGACACAGGTGTGTGGTTGCCATGGTGACCATAATGAGCCATCGTTTTTAACACCGGCACTGGTCGTACATCAAAATGTAGGCATTATTATTAATTTTTTTGTCATCTTGAGTTGTTGCAAAGGTGTTTGAATTTTGGGCAGGAACTACACTTTCCAGTGTGCACATTTAATTTAAACGCTAAATAAAGAGCACACGCTACTTTATCCTTTTTCTTACACTTTAATGTTGAATTATAGATTATCACGTCTCCATCTAATCTACTTGGCTGCTGTGATCTTGTTCAGATGTTTATCACATATTATGACCCTTTACTTGTTATATGATGCATTTCTGTGTTTTTTTTATATTTTTTTATTTAGTTATTGCGAAAGAGGCACATTGGCAATGACATCGTCACCATAGTATTCCAGGAGCCCGGGGCCCTTCCTTTCACCCCAAAAAACATTCGCTCTCATTTCCAGCATGTGTTTGTCATCGTCAAAGTCCACAACCCGTGCACTGATAACGTCTGCTACAGGTAAGCGGAACAAAACGGCTTTTTTTCCTCTAAGGCTCTTTCAAATTATAGTTCTCTGTTCTGTAAAGAAAAAAGATAAGAGTTGAACCCTGTAATAAGGAGGAAACTAAAAGTGCTAATGACGATAAAGGCGAGCACGTTTGTCGGTTTGATGGGCTTTGCGTAGATGTCTTCACGCCAAAATGGACTTTTAGAGGTTCTAATTTGAAAGAGGGATAATAATAGCTCTTCGGTGTTCCTGCAGTGGTTTCTGTCATGACTTTATAGTAATGTGCACAAATCACGGGGCACTTTTGATCCGTTCTCTGAAGATGCAGTTATTATCTTCACCGACACCTTGAAATTAGAACTTGGAACTTTGTCAGATTTTATTTATTTATTTATTTATTTTTTTAAGTTAAGGTAACACTCGTTGATTTCCTCCTTTGAAAAATAATTTTCTTGAATGCCATTTGATTCAGTTCAGTTCAGTTTGTTTATAAAGTGCCGAGTCACAACAGAAGTCGTCTCAGGGCACCGAACAGAAACATCCACATACATTAAAAGTAGAGATGCACCGATCCACTTATTTCACTTCCGATCCGATACCGATATCTACGTTATGTGTCGGTCTATACCGATCCGATGCCGATCGGATACAAAAAAAAAAACTGTGCTGAATTAACAAAAATGGCTAAATCATGTCACCTGGACCCGTTTCTGAAACAGGTCCAGATGACATGATTTAGCCATTTTTGTTGTCTACCTGGATGTTTGAGCTTACAAACCCAGTGCTGAATTAACTTAAAACATTTGTTTTGTTAAACGCAGACATGAATGCACAAAACTCTGCACCATAGCAGCACATTTAAACACACCAAGAGCTTCTCAAGCTTGGTAACTTTGTAGTAGACTCTCATCCTAAGCAAGCACAGAGGCAACAGTGGAAAGGAAAAACTCCGTTTTAACAGGAAGAAACCTTTAGCAGAACCAGACTCGGGACCAGCAGCCTTCTGCTTCGACCGGCTGAGTTTGAGAGGACAGGAAGGAGGAATAGATACACAATGGCAGATCCAGGAAGGAGGACATCACGTTTTTCTCTAAGAGGAAATACAAAAAAAGACAAAAAATAAAACCAATCAGAATTCACACGTTAAGAAAGAATAATTACAAATACAAACTACTTATTTGTATGTATTTGTAAGTATTCATTTGATAAGTGAGGTCAATT